TAGATAGATAGATAGATAGATAGCTAGATAGATAGATAGGTAGTTAGATAGATAGATAGATAGATAGATAGACAGATAGATAGATAAACAGCCAATTAGAAAGACTACCTGGCAAACTGACTGACAGCAGGCATAGACCAATAGACAAAACTATAGGCACGCATTTTGATGAATCGCGGCCAGTCCGCATAAACACAGTGGAGCGAGTGAATCGTAGATCAAACACGTGGAGCGTCCGATGATTGTCTTTAGCATGGTCAGTGATAATCGAGCTTATATTGAAAACCAATCAGTCCAAAAGACAAGCGTTTAACCGATTCGAAACATTCGTGGAATTCATGTTACACCCTCCGACGGAACATAGTGTTTACCACTGACCATGAAAAGAGCACGGGATTTGTCACCTGCTACACTCAAGGTGCTACCTAATTCCGCAACGGGATCATTGTGTCATCAACGAGTTTGGTAGGACTTTTCCACGGCATTGACCTAGGCATGAGAGTTAAGACCCATGTTCAGGTATTCAGCGAAAACGTTAAACGTTCAGTGATGTTCTACGTACTCCAAACTGATGTACAGGAGAATGAATTTTGTCAGTAATTTGCGATACACTGACAGACGAGTGATTTTGTGTAGTTTCCTCCTGTTAGCAAGTAGTCTTGAAGACAATTTCTTCCTATCGGCATTGCAAGTGATGTTTAATTGTCTTCTGGGTTCCAGCCAAATGCTGTAGATCGAAAGGGGCCTGGCCAGGCGCATTTGATATTACATTTTCGACGATTGATGGAGACAGCGACCGAGGAGGAACATGAAGCCGCCTGGCGAAGGCTGCACCGTGAACTTCAGGTTAGTAGTTTCCTTTTTCTTATGGGACTGTTCCCAAAAAATAACTGAAATTACGATTAAAAGCTGCTTAATATAAGAGTGGAGTAGAGGATGCATTCGAGAAAATAATCGGTCATCAGTCGAATGTTTTAGCGGCCGTTTCTTGAAGCTACACAAAAATTAAACGTGGTTCCTTTAGATTTGCGAATCACATGCCGCCACAACTATTCTTCTGACTTCTTTCAGGTTAGCCACATTGTCAAGAAAACGTTTCGCGATATCGTCGTGGATGTGACAACCCACCATAAGCCAACGGTAATGGGTTTGTCCAAGAGGGAGGAGCGCATGTGTTTCCAGGAAGTATTTGATCAATTCCGGACGCACTGCTTCACAAATCTGCAGGCAAGTTGACCTCGTGATGCGCGAAAACAAGGGTGCACAAAGATATGCATCCATTACTAGCCAATGCATTCACCCACGACGTCACGTAGTGTTCATTAGTTGAACATTTTGTAGGCCATTTTCCGTCATAACCCGTTAACACTAGGGCAACTGATGGAAGGTTGAAAGTAAAGTAGATGAATCGGTTCAGTTTAATTCAGTTCAACTCACTTGAGTTCAGTTCAGTTTAGTTTAGTTTAGTTTAGTTTAGTTGAGTTGAGTTCAGTTCAGTTCAGTTCAATTCAGTTCAGTTCAGTTCAGTTCAGTTCAGTTCAGTTCAGTTCAGTTCAGTTCAGTTCAGTTCAGTTCAGTTCAGTTCAGTTCAGTTCAGTTCAGTTCAGTTCAGTTCAGTTCCGATCCGTTCAGTTCATTTCAGTTCAGTTCAGTCCAGTCCAGTCCAGTCCATTCCAGCCAAGTCCAATCCAGTCCAGTCCAGTCCAGTCAAGTTCAATTCATTTCACTTCAGTTCTTTTCGGTTTAGATTTTTTGGGATTCAACCGTAGGCGATCTTCCTGAAATCCCATCAGCCTTGTTTTCTAGATGATCACTTAGTTGGAGCGAACCATCGCTGGTGGTTCACTTGTGTCCCCTGTCAAAACCGAATTTGTATGGAAGCTGGAGCATTTGCCAAAATCTGTCCAATTCGAAATGCGTCTACCTGATGGGCTCCGAAAAGGGGCGACGTATTTTGTTTCGTATAGTTCTCACAGTTTCATTCATCTGCTACGTAGCTGAAAAAATTGGCGTGTCCTCTGCTAGCAATGAAGCAGTTTACATCAAGACGCTTCGCTTTGTCCGAAATTCAGATATGCGAATTCTCACCAACACCTCTCATAAGTGACTTTTTTCTCATCTCGGGTTCAGTATCCGCTCGATATTCAGTGTGCCTGACTGACAATTTTCCCTCCTCTTTTGCATCATAGTTTGCCCATTTTCTCGGGAATGTTTAACTGTGTTGGTGTGCGGTAGATTGAACCTTGTGTGAACACACATTTCTGTTTCATTGGAAGCAATGTCAGGGATTGGTGCAAACCTGTGTTAGACATGCCTGGTTCTCGGTCCGTAGTATGCGTGTTGCATATTTCGTTTGCATGCCAGGACTGATTTCCTAGCTGAGCTTCTGTTATCTTTCTGTCCTCAGGTCCCAGAGGTAGACCAGCACACAACTCAGCTAATGAACTTGTGCCAAGCAGGATACAATCGCGAAATCCTCATTGAGTCTGTCCACAACTTCTGTTCCTAACGGGCACAAATCGGGTTGTGGGATGTTTAAAAAATAAACTGGATTCCAGCTGGTCCGTATCGTGTTTTTCGTGGGTTGTGTTTTTCCATCAAACTGGCCGTCCTAAGATTGTTCGGGAAAAACCGAAAGCATTTAGGTAAAACCGTCGGGATTCTCAGTTCTTGGGGACGCATGAAGACGCCTCCACATATCTGACGTACCAGTGCACGATAGGTGCACAGGGCGAACAAAAATCGGCCGGTCGGCCGACACAGGTAGAACAGTTTCGTTTCGTTTGTCGACCCATACACACACAGCTCAAATTTCAATGTTTCTCTTGATCAATAAATCATGCTGGAGACGCATCATCAAACTTAGCCACATCGACTTTGAATATGTTCTCATAAAGCCCTTTACAACTATATCTGATATTTGGATGAGGACCTTGGGAAGGCTGCGGTTTGTCCAACAATCAGACTGGTAATGAGTCTTTCGGAATTGTCTGTTTTGGCAGTTGTTCTCTTACCACATTGCCAACCTGATGTTGTTGCACCAGATTCATCAACTGGTCGATGTTTACGCACGTGGGACGGGAAGGGACCGACTCCAAGCCAGATGTATCTTGTCCACAATCATTATCCAGTTATTCCAGAAGGGAAGGTTTTGGTACACAACAAAGTGTGTACAACTATTGTAGAAATGAACTGCTACCCATACGATTGCTGAAAAAGTCTTTAGCAACTCACAGCACACCTCAAAATTCTAGGTTTCATTTAATAGGAATATAACATGATGTTCAATTAAAGCAAGGTTGGTAGGAAATCGCAGACGAATAAATCAACGACGAATCAACGCCATCGAGTTGATGAGGTGTGACAGTTGCTTCACATTTTCCAAGGATGTCCACCTTCGGACTCAAGTACAAAATCATTCCGTGCTGGACAGTCATTCTGCCGTTGACCGGAGCTGTAAAACTCTGTATAACATTGTGTTTGTATCGTGTTTTCAATGTTTTATTGATAATTTAAAAATGTCTGTTGTCTCGAACTCTCGTTATTCTGTATAGGGTGATACCTATTCTGCTTTTTCGTCAACAAGACCAGCCCTTTTTGTACAAAACTTGTTCGATTCTGTCAGCAAGTATTTTGCTTGAAAGGCAACGGGTGTCCAGCTTTTGCGACGTGTGACTGACTAGGGTTCGTCCCTTTGGAGTACTGGTAATGTTCTCTTCTACACTGTTTCCGTAGAGGAGAAATTCTGCAAGTAATTTCACTATTTGGAATTGATCAAGTACAAACAGGCAAAAACACCATCAATGTCACATCTGTCCGAAAAGCATACCATACCATTGTTGATTCGACGAATCGTCGATTATTTTTGGAACACACAGAACTAATCTGTACAGAAGAAGTCCAATGAAAAGCACAGGCCTTCTACTAGTTCGTCTGTTTTCATACGATTTGATCTAACGGCGGATGATGTTTAACTGAAAACAACCAAGACACTTCCCTGGATGGATGACTAACTTGTATAACTTCGGCGGATTTTCAACAAACCATGTTGCCTGACTGAGTTCAAATTTCCTAAAACAGTCTCGATTGGTTTCTTTCTCCGCATTCAGGATCGCCGGCTGTTGCAACCAGAATCCTATCTTATCGTGGACGTTCGTTACTATTCCAAATACCTCACTTATGGCACAGCAGGATTAGTTACATAAACTGGAATACACATATGGTTGCTGAGAAGTTTTAGACAGCTGACGACCTGTTTCGCCATTCTTGAGGCTCATCAGTTAGGCACATTTCCTGGGTTCCCATTGGCAATGTGTTCTAGATAATCATTTCGTGGAAGCGAACCATCATTGGCGGTTCACTTGTGACCTTTGTCAAAACCAAATCCGTTTACTAGCGCGAGCATTTGACAAAATCTGTCGGGTAAAAGTAGAACATGAGGTTGACGGAAACTCTCAGACTGCGACTACCTGATGAGCTTCAAGTAGGGCGAGCCCGGTCGTAGATTTACTATGTATGTTGTTTCGTAGAGTTCGCACAATTTAACTCCTCTGCTGCGTAGCTGAAAAGCTTCGCGTTTATTTCACTCGCATCGGACGAGTCTTTATCCAGAATTCCGTTATGCCGATACTCACCAATCCCTCTCACAAATACCAGATTTAATCGCGGACCCAATATCCATTTGACATTCAGTGAGCCTCAGTGAATATCTTCACACTGCTTAGCATATTGGCCAGGTTTTTAAGAGAATGCTGAAGCCTGTTGGTGAACGTTAGGAGAAATCTTATGTAAATACACCTTCCTGTTCGCTTGAAAGCACCCTTAGTCATTAGTACAATACTATGCTCAAAATGTAGGAACCTATGTCCTTCACATGCTTGGTGAATCATTCGCTTCCACGATTAGCTGAAATCCTGTTAACTATCTGTCTTCATGTCTTCGAGGTAGCTCAGCATACAGTTCGAATATTGGAGCTGTGCAAAGGACACGAGGCTGAAATCCTCACTAACTCTGTCCACAACGTCTTTTCCTAACGGACACATCCGTTGCTGCCTGATTTTGCCAAAACAAAATGTATTGCAGCTGATCCGTAACGGGTTTTGTCATCGTCGCGAAACGTGCGTTGTGTTCTTCCTCAAGTTAGCCGTCCAAAGGTCGTTCGGTAAAAAACAAAAGCATTTAGGTAAAACGGTCCGGATTCTCAAACCTTGTTGACTCATCAAAACGCCTCCACCGAGCTGACGTTCCAGTGCACGATAGGTGCACAGGACGACCAAAATTTGGCCAGTCGTCCGACACAAGTAAAACAGTTTTGTGTCGTCTGTCGACACAAATACACTGCTCAAATTTCTACGTTTTTCGTGATCACTCTAGCCGTGATAGAGACGCATCATAAAACTTAGCTCCACCGACTTTCAATATGTTCTCATACAGCCATTCAAAACTTCACCTTATATTTAGATGAGGTCGTTCGGAAGGCCTTAGTTTGTCCAACAATCACACTGGTATGGAGTCTTTTGGGATTGTCTGTTTTGGGCAGTTGTCCTCTTACCACATTGTCAACCTGATGTTGTTGTATCAGATTCATCAACTGGCCGATGTTCATGCGCTTGGGACGAGAAGGGATCGATTCCGTTGCAGATGTGTCTAGTCCAGAATCGTTATCTAGTTACTCCAAAGAAGAAATTTTGGATACATTAGATGCGCAGTAGCGAACGTAAATCAGCACAATGTACAAACCGATTACTATGGGCGGAAGAATAACTGCTTATGAAATGACCAATAAAACGCCATGCGACAACGTAGGCCAGTTGGTCACTCCGTTCATACGCAACAAAATCTGCAAAGCTACGCGTGAAATGACCTGCTACCCATAAGATTGCTGAAAAATTTTCAGCAAGTCACGTCAAGTCTCACACTTGTCATTTGATAGGCGTGTAATATGATGTTCAATTAATGCAAGGTTGATAGAAAGTCGCAGACGAATAAATCAAACACGAATCAACGCCAACAAGTAGACGCGGTGTGACAGTTACTTCACACGTAGCACGGATGTCTATCTTGGGACAAACGTACAAAATCATCCCACAGACTGCGACGGAATAATGTATGTGAAATATGGACTACATTATACAAACATTCGTACACCGTAATGAATTAGTCGCCGTTTGGAGCCAGGTAACATGTTCTCTGGTAGGAGCCTGCGACTACATAACACCAGCAGAAAATACG